TAAAACCAATTGGCAATAGAAGGATTAGCCCACCAAACTTATATATTGGACTTGGAACCTTTAATTTTTCGATGTGGGATTGAGTTTGCACACCCTACAAACCTCCCCTCAAACACAAGACCACACTGGGCCTCCCCTTGAACCAAATTCATATGATCCGACCATCTTGTACTGCCGTTATCACCCACGGAATCCGCCGCCTGACCACACCCTTTTCGCCAAGAAGACTTTCGACACAAGGCACACGGATCTACCGGCCCTTCCGACTCCACGGGGAACATGCCACGTCATCCACATCGCAACTTGGCTACCAACCGTGGCTCTGATACCAATTGTTAGGATCAACAATTCAAAACCCAGTTCTCCATCAAGCCCAACATACAAGCCCAAATGGGGTTCCACTCTAAAACCAATTGGCAATAGAAGGAGTAGCCCACTAAACTTATATATTGAACTTGAACCCATTAATTTTCGATGTGGGATTGGGTTTGCACACCCAACAAACCTCCCCTCAAACACAAGACCACATTGGGCCTCCCCTTAAACGAAATTCATACGATCCGACCATCTTGTACCGTCGTTATCATCCACGGAACCCGCCGCCTGACCACACTCATTCGCCAGGAAGACTTTCGACACAAGGCACACGGATCTACCGGCTCTTCCGGCTCCACGGGGAACATGCCACGTCATCCACATCGTAATTGGGCTACCGACCGTGGCTCTGATACCAATTGTTAGGATCAACAATTCAAAACTCAGTTCTCCATCAAGCCCAACATACAAGCCCAAATGGGGTTCCATTCTAAAACCAATTGGCAATAAAAGGAGTAGCCCACCAAATTTATATATTGGACTTGGAACTTTTAATTTTTCGATGTGGGATTGGGTTTGCACACCCTACAGCTTCACGATAGCAGTGCACAACATTCACTACCCATTTCTTTAAAATGCTTTTATTTTATTTATAATCATGTTTCCATTTAACTTATAGCTTACGAAACAGCCTTATTTGGAAGTGTTATCCTCTTCTTTGCAAATGTTTTCTTATGTAGCTAGTAGTTTTTAATCTTCGCCTATATTTAGCTAAGAGACTTTTATGGTTATGTTTGACAAAATTAGCTGATAAGCTAGCTTATAACTTATACGTGATTTTTGAGCTTATTACTTATAGTTGAAAAGTTAGCTTGTATGATAAAAATGTTTGGTAAAATTGAGCTAAAATTAAATTTTAAACTAGCTTATTCAAAAAGCTGTCTAAAGAAGCTTATAAGATAAGTTTGAGTTTTTTTTTTTTTAAAAAGCTCGTTCTACCAAACAGAGCTTATTTGAATACAAAAAGCTTATAAAACTAACCAAATAAGTTACAAACTAGCTTATTTGACTACCAAACATAATTTATGTCAATATGCATTTTTTTTTTTTAAATTCCTACGATAGCATAATGGTTGATGAATATTGAAAACTAGTTAATATGTACAAATACATTTGATAGAATTAACTTGTAAGCCATACCAAACAAAAAAATTGAATGCGTCTTTTTTACATTTTATGGAAATACTGGTTATATAAACATTTAAGATAACTCGAACTTAGCCAATATACATATATATATGTTGGTTTTTGTGAGAATAAGTCTCAACGAACGAAATAAGAATAAATTGAATCCATAAAATTGTATTAATCGAACGACTACTGGAGTTGCATCCATAACTGATAACGCCATTAAACATAAGGGTATAATAGTAACTACTCATATAATTAATGTCGTCCCGAGGAAACACTCATAAGTCATACCTCATTCGCAACTGAATTCCCAATTTCCTCACCTCAATTTCACTAAGTTAGATTACTATTTTTGAACTGTATCAAACCATTGGAATTTTGTGGTCTGTCATCGTGAACATTGAGCTTGAATTCTTGGGTTATTGAGTGTTGCGACAGATTTAACGGAGTCTTGCGACAATTTTCATGAGATCGAGGTATACAAATATCCATGAAATCGAGCTCATTTTTTTTTCTGATGTATTAGCTTTTTATGAGTTTTTTCATGTTGAGCTAAAATTTTAAAATTTCTTGTTGTTTGTAAAAAATCTCAGTGAAATCGAGATAGAAATTTTCAACTTCTCGGAGGTTTGAACCGATATCATTCTTGTTATCTTTTTGTTTGTTTTCTTTTTCATCTTTTCATGGGTTTTATACAGTATCTTGGTTGAGGATGAACTTGTATGAATCACAACAAGGTACTGATATGAAGTTTATACAGTATACATCAGTTAAACAAGACCTATTCTGTTTATGATAACGTGCAACAATTGGTCATGATGTGTGCAATAGATGTACACAAATGTGCGATCAATAAGTTTGATTTATTAATACTATTACTATCTTTTTTTCTTCACATGACTCCATAAGACATTCAGGAATCGATTACACAACATCACCTTTCAATCACACCAGGGGAACAAAATATTAGTTATCACAATATGATGGTGCAATCAAACCATATCAGGGACAAAGATTTCGGGAATTACATGAAGCAGTCAACTTCAACGGGAATTACACTCTTAATGTTGGATTTGAGGTCAGACATAGCACTTTGGTGAAAGCACGTGACAAGATGTTCCTTTGGAAATATCTAATGTGTTCACGAGAGAGATACAAGCATCATCAAAACATCCAGTATACGGTGAAGGACATATGACGCAACGTAGAGTGTCAACCGGAGAGGTTGTAATGCCAGAATGTAAACTTCATTAATGATCTTGAATAAATAATTTGGTGTATACGAAATACTTACT